CCTGGGTGGCTGTGGGAGCTGGCTCTTGTCCTGCTTTCCTGGGCTGGGACAGCATGCCAGGAATAATGCACTTGTTTGGCAGCTGTGGATTGGAACATGAATCTGCAATGTGGGGCTCTTAGAGGAGCCCGTGTTGCTCTCGATTCACAAGCCACAGTGGTCAAACAAGAAATTTTTTTTGATGTAGCTGATATGTTATGTGTGACCTCTTCTACTGGAAGTGGCCTTTTCTCAGAGGTACCTGAGTCACTCACTGTCACCTCAGGCTACATTTGCTGTGATGTATTTTTTTTCTCAGACTGAAACTGAAGTAATTTAGAAAGGATGCCTGGAAGGACAAGAGAGAGATGGCTTAAGTAGTAGGGCTCCCCCCAAACTCTCAGGGACAGCAAACACTGAGGAATTGAAGTATACTTATAACATTCCTTTTTCCTTTTTTTTTTCAAAGTTGCCTTTTTGCCTGAAAGGCATTGCTTTTTATTAAATAAGCCTTTGCAAAAGCTCTCTTAGCATTGGTACCTGTGGTCACAAGCCAGGAACAGAATTGGAGGTGCTGTGCCCAAGTAATTGTAGAATTGTTAATGGAGACTCCTCCCTAAAGATCAATCCAAGCAAGGAAAAAGTCGATATCCCTAAAGAAACAAGAGCAGAAGTGGTCAAATTTTAGTGGGAATGCCATGAAATAGTATGCAAATCAGGGAAAACCCCATTTTCTCCCTAAATCACCACAGGAGCCATTTTCACCTGTTTTCAGGTTATTCCAGGGCTGACAAATCATCCCCATGTCTTTATGTCTGGGAATTTTATAATCTTTCTTCAGGAAAAAAATAATGTCAACTACCCTGGCACACAAGGAATGCACAATAACCTACCTGGAGAAATGGAAACATCTGTTGTGGGAGTTCCTAAAAGCTGAGCTCCTAAATGGGTGAATATCTGACATCTAACCGGAAATTTTGGCAAGGTGGCCTATCTGTTTGTATTACAGTGGTTTCAAAGCTCTGTGTAATATGATATGAAGAGTTTGGGAGAATGTCTTTAAGCCTGGCTTTTTAAACTTCTCCTCTTTAGGACTATTTTTTTCTGAGGCAAATCTGGGGAGTAAGTGGTGGCTTTGGTAGGAGATGCCAAGCTCTTAAAAACACAGTGGGAGAGGCCACTGGGGCGAGCCAATTCCAGTCAGCAAATGCTGGAACTCAGTGCCCTGAGGTAACTGGGGGATATTGCAGCACCTTCAGATTCCTATTTCATAATGTATAATAAGCAGAATAAAAGCACTTTTTAAAAATAGAACCTTTAAATTTTTTCTTTCCCTTTTTTTTTTTTTTTTTTAAACTGCAAAATCAAATCTATTTCAGTCAAGTACTTCAGGGATTGGCACCTATGAAAGAAAAATGACATTAGTTTTGGCATGGGAAGAATATTGGAAGATTTAGAAGAGAAAATGCATAGCCACTCCATGGACGCAGCTTCTAATGTGCTGATCCCCAGAGGTGCTGCCCCTTGGGCTGGGAGCTGACTGCAGGCACCAACACTGATGTAATGTTTGCTGCCTCTCCAGTGCTGATTAACTTGGGGGAAATAAATGCAATTAGTTGAAGTACCTTATATGTCATGCTCCTAATGAATGTTGTAATTTAAGAATAGTACTTAAATTTATTAGAAGCACCTCTTTAGGAGTATTGTTTTGTTGGGTTTTTTCCTAAAATAAATTTATCTAGGTCTTAATAATTCCAATGCCAAGAATGATGCAGTATCTCTTACTGTTCCTCTTGTCCTGCAGAATTTTGGGAATAAAAAGGACAAATGAACAAAAACATGACACTAGGCATGGATTCACTTGCAGGATGTGTCCTGTGTGCAGGCACAACCTTGTGCCTCCAGTCCTTGTGAACTATGGGTGGCTTTCCTGGATGGTTCTGAGTTTATTTACGTGTCAAATGTGATTTATTGGTCATGGTGTTTGTTTTAAATGAGTTAACAAGTAGAGAGTTAATTTATCTTACAATTATTAAATTGTAAGTATCTAGATTTTTCTGGCTTAGCAGTTGAAGATTTTGGTATTCTCTCATATTTAACAGTCTGTCTGTTTTCATTATGAATTGAATTTGCAATAAAGTACAGGGTTTAATTTTGATAAAAGTATTATTGGGTAATGTGCATTGCTAACTTTCTCTGTTTGCCCATAATAATCCAGTTTATCCAGATATTTCAGAAGAGGTCATCTAAGAGTTACTTGACTGAAGCACAGCATGTTGGCAATATGAAATGACACCTTCTTAAATCAAGACATAAATAAGTCCTTTAACTTTACTGCTACTTTTCCCCCTCTTTCCCAATAATGTAGCTATGTCCTGATTATATGGCACTACAAACATTCAGATTCCTTGATCAAATCTTCTCCATAATTGTGCAGACCTTGATCCTACAAGGCCCTTGCATTCTTCACATAGAAGCTTTGTTTTGTTTTGTATTATTCATTTAAAGATGGTTTGCAGTCAGTTTATTTTGATATTCTGAAACCAGTAAACAGTGTGCATGTCAGGGCTGAGGCACAAAGGCAAGCTGCTGAGTCTGGCTCTCTTGCATAGCTGTTCTGGGGTTAAGATATATACTTAGTGTTCCAGATCTCTGGTATTATTCATAATCCTTGAGGAAAAAAAGAGTCAATTAATGAAAAGCAAAAATTTTTGAATTATGTTCCATTACATCATGCAAAGGACATGCAGTGAGAAGGTAGGATTGCATCTGAGTGTTCCCCAGCATTGAAAATGTGGCAGATGCATTGTTCCTCAAAAGTGATATGCCCTTCCTGAAATGCATTATTTACCAGAAACGTGGGAGTTTGGGGACTTGGGTTGGTGTGGTGGTGATTTTAATTCACCATCTGCCTCCCTAGACCCTAATAGCCTTTCATTTATTTCATATTCACTAGGGCATAGAAAATGCTCAGGGTGTCTAAAATATTATGTGGTTTAAAAAGAACCAGATAAAAGAAATTATAGCTACTAACTATAGGGGGAATTACAGTGAAAAGTTTTTGAGTGCTTTCCAGGAGGATGCACAAGCTCAGACTTGCCTGATTTATTTCTACCTATGTCCTTTCACAGTCACTTTTTCTGAGCCATTTGGGAAGCTTCCTTATCTGCACATTGCTCTGTAAGGGGTAGGTGTGCCATCTGCATATTATTGTAAATTAGAGGATCCATCCATCTACTATCTTAGATGAGCATGGCTTTCCTGCAGGACTTTGTTAAATTGTGTAAATTTAATTTTCATATCCCTTCTGGAATATTGAACAAAACTAATTTTATGACTGTAGGGTTTGAAAGCAGAAGGGGCAGTAAGTTAATATAATTAATCATTGTGTCATTGCTGCAGAATAATGGACTAATTCTCTTCCTAATTTCCAGTTACTTATCATTTGAAATCTCCCAGGGAAAACAGCACTGTGTAGAAAGAACAAGGAACAACCAATTAAAGTAAGTGTTTTGTTTCATCATCTTAAGCAACTGTAACAGAACTGAGGAAACTCTGGTTGTGATTTATTAGTTGTATTTTTTGAGGTTTTTATATACAGTTAGATATTTGCATGAACTGCTTCATATGGAAAAAGTAATGAATTTCCCCACATTGCCATATTTTTGTGTGTCAGATTTGCATTTTTAAAAAAACAGTCAAGTACACAGAATAATTAGCTTGAGTTAAAATGAACAAAACAAACCATCTAAAACTCTTGGTTAAAAATTTTAGATATTTTTATTCCAACTCTGAAAAATTAAACTCCCCTGCAATTATAAATCAACAGTGATCTGCCAGCAGGTCCTAATTTGGGCCTCTTAAACTAAATACTTATGTTTGCTTACAGGACTGTTTCAAATATTTATTTTACAACTGATCATTTTAAATGTACCTACTACCCATCACTCATTTTGGTGTGGGACTGTGGAATCTGCTAAATCTTTGCAGGTTCAGGTTTAAACTGGCACAACTAAGATGACCAATATCTCTGATATCCCCCCCTGGGTTTGGAATTTGGATGATTTTAGAGAGAATATCAAGAAGGTGAATAAGAACAAATAGGAATGAGGCACTGGGAAATACTGAGACAGAGCTAAGGGAGGAGCTGGGGAGAAAAAGCATCCCAGGAATGAGTGTGTGGAGCCCATAAAGATGCAGCTGAGTGCCAGATGAGGTGATGGAAGGGCAGAGTGGGAATGGAACAGGGAATAGGAAGTTTTGGCATGTGTGACATAAGGCTCTGTGGGATGGGTAGGACAGGATGTGAATAGAAAAGAAAGATGTTTTGGCAGCTTCTGTTGCTGTACAGAGTTCAGCATCATTTCTGGCAGCAAGCTGGAAAGCATTTAAAGGCTGAGCTTTCAACTAAAAATTCTCATTAAGTAGAGGCCCAGTAACCCTGTCTAAAAGGTTAAAGCAAAAACACCAAACAAGGCAGCATTTCCTCCACTGTTTTTTATGTAAGTACAGCTAATTGAACTGAACTTGGAGGAAATACTAACTTGATTTTTTTTTTATTTTCTTTCCTTGAACAGGAACTCAGCATGAGCTGTTTGTTAGTTTGAAGTTTTAAAATTTGGAACAACTTTAGTCACTGCTGAACCCAAATGAGAACCAAACTGAATAAGTAACATATTTAACTGCCTAAGCAGATGTAAAAATTCAGGATCAGTTTGTAACAATTCTGTTTTCTGCATTTTTGTTTTGATCCCACTTTTCAATTATCCTGCCCAGATTTCTTCCAGGCTCCTGCTTTGAGTCAGGTGATGCTGTAGGTTGTAGAGGACCTTCTGGTGGGATGAGTTGGACAGAATTCATGTTAGGGTTTAGACCATGTAAATAGCATTCTTCAAAGTCTTCTTTTTTTTTTTTTTTTTTGATACTGCTCAATTTCTGCTTCCATCCCCACAAGAAGCTTCAGGAAGGGTGCAGAGGAATGGCCTGCCTGCCAGGCACTAGGGAGAATATCTCTCCATGTGGTGCTGTGCTGCAAAGTCAGCTGTTCTCACTGCCTGATTGTCAGATGAGCACTGCTGTGACAAAGCCACTTGGAAAAAACAGGTATTGTGTGGGTTTTCATCTGGAGCTGACATCAGGGGTTTTAAGAAAAAAGCTGAGAGATTCATATAGAAATTGCCATGCAATGGTTCATGCCGGTTGTGTTGTTAGCCAACTTAAATGCTGCACAAGAAAGCTTTTGGAGTTTGATTTTTGCTTTCCTCTGTCTGGAGAACACGGTGTCAAGCACCCATTTTTTTTATTTTAAGCACAGTCTCAAAGACTTGATTGTTCTTTGATCCTAGTGCTGTGCTGAAGGTAGTTCAAAGTTATAAGGAGTTATGTATGCTGTGTCTTAATGAAATGCTTGTCTGAAATTGAACTGATAGCCTGCTGTGAAAAAATCAATTTGCCATCAGCAACTGAATGTACTTGATGCTCAATTTAGTTCACCCAACTATTTCACGTTTGTTCCCTGTAGTAAAACAAAAGGGTCCTGAGAATTAATTACAGTGTTAGCATCTGCTCATGGCAGCTTTGCTGATACACTTGGTGGAATAAGATACTTAAGGCAGGAGGGAGATGGAGTGTAAAGTTTTTCCCACTGCCATTTCTTATGCAAATATCTTTTAAAGGATAGGCTCCTCTGGTGTTTCCTGTACTTTTTCTTTTGGTATTAGAGCACTCAGTTGTGTTTAAAACTAGCAAATGCTAATTGCTTCCAGATAATTTGTGTTATGTCACTTTTTCATAGTTCATATTTCCATAACTATTGCTGGCTGCTCACTGGAGTATTGTTTATTTGAACGTTTGGAATGGCATTTCTTAGTTTAAAGTTAATCCCAAACATTTTGGGGTGTCAGTAGATGAATGAGAAGTTGCTGAAGTTGCAGGTTCCTGAGATTCCCAGTGTTGGATCTTGTGTTAGTGTAATTCCAACCTGCTGTGCCAAGCACACTGTGGAGCAGCCTTGAATGCTGGACAAGAATACTTTTGTCTTGTGCAGAGTCTTCTTTAACAACTGCACCTATTTTAACATTAAAAATGGTCAGTGTGCTCACATGCCAACCTAAACTGAGGTTTTATTGTGCTGAACACAGAAACTGAGCTGGAACACAGGCGCACAAAATATCAGTAACTTTAGGATTTTAATATTTGATAATTTTGTATTTTAAGTCGTATTCAAGTAAATAAATCTTGGTCACTTGGTCTAGGAGATGGATCAGGTCCCATACTTTTTGTCTGGGCTTTTTTTACTTTATTTTTTTTGCTGAAAAGATATAAATTATCTTTCTTGGTATGCCTGAGAAAACATGATCTCTAAAATCCAGGAGATTTTCATTATTTTAAGTTGTCTGTAAGTTCTGTCATGTCAGATTTGAAATGTGTTCAACCACATCACTGTATTTTGGAGAGGATCATAGATTTCTGTGAAAGGGTGCTTGAAATTTAATCTTGTCCTATATGATTGTGATGCCTGTAGTGATGGTAGAGTTGTCCTGTTGGTATTGGAGAATGATTTTACTTAATGTAATTATAATAAAACCCCTAAATTTGGTGAAGTAAAACCAGGTTCATTTCAATTGCCTGTCCATTAGGTTGCCATGAACCAAATGCTTTTAACTTCTTAACTCATAAGAAGATTGTTGAAGCAGTGCCTGACACTGGTCAGGTGTTAATTACTGGTAATTAATATTAAAGCAAAAAGAAAAATATATAAATTAAATATGTAATAAATTAATACTCTTATAAAACTGCAGTAACATAGTGTGACATTTAATATGCACACCTGCATATCTTGTTTCTTCTTTCCTCTAGAATTTTAACTGAGGATTCAAAGAGTTTTTCTCAGCAATGGAAGAGCATTTCTGTATTTTGCAGATATGCTTTTTTAGAATATCACATGGCATGAAATTTAAACTCTCTGCACGTAGAACAGTTTTTGAAAGAACATTTGCTACTCCTTCAGAGTGAACACATCCTCTAAATAATTATTTTTGTATCTACTTAGCAAGGCCATCCTAATCAGGAAAAATGTCACATATCTTTATACAAATAAGGTGGTTATTTATTAAAAGTGCTGCTGAGAATGACTGTGATCTCTTAAGACAAGAGCAGATAGGTGAATTGAGAACTAATGGTTTCTATGATTCTTGAATATAGTTCTTATCAAGGAATATGCTTCATATGTTTGACAATATTGAGGGGACAGAAAGGTCTTATCATTCTATAATTTTTACAGTACATGGTAATTGTTACCTTGATAATACATTTTACATTTTTACATAAGCTGTAATACTTCCAAAGCAATTTTTTTCTATGTTAGCTTTGGTCCACAAGGTGTATGGAATCTTCTGATCTCCATTCCTTGCATGTGAAATAATTGTCAAAGAGAAGTGGTTTTCTTTTGAATACTTCAGCAAAACAGAAATGGGAATTTGTATGTGCTTTCAATTTGCTAGGAAGGGAAACAATTAATTTTTTTCCATTTTTTTTTTTGGTGTGGGAAAAGTATTCCTCATAGCCTAATATTTAATACAGCTGGGAGGAAAACTGTAGGTTTTGTACACCACTTAATTTCTCTAGACATTGAAATGTCTTCACCTGGAGAAGCAGCCTATTTTGTGTCTAGCATTTTTCATTAGAGGTACTAATTAGCAACAGATAACAAATGATGCTGTTATGCATTAATACTCAGAAGTGCATGCAGGATGGATGGATCCACATTGGACCCATCCCTGAAATTGGGGACACCTGCTCTCAGAGCTCTGGGCAAGATGCCAACTGCAGAAATGATATTGAAACAGAATATATTGAGTATTTAATATAGTTTTAAATAGAGGTTTTGTGGATTTTTTTTGAAGTAAGCATCCTTTATGTGGTTGCTTGCACTGCTTGGAATTGGACTTGATTGTTCAGATTGTGCCAGGTAGAAGCTACAGTGGAAGGGTGGGGGGAGTATTGTCTTTATCCTGTTGGTGTCACTAAAATATAGAATATTTTGTTACACTCCTATTTAACATAGATCAGTTTTCAAGCCAGATAATTGCCCTGATTAATTCCTTACTACACTTGTTTATCTTTGTGGCAAAAGGATATTTCCTTCAGCTTTAAAGGGCCTTCATTACTTATCTTTCCTTGATTTGTGGTAGCTACATGCATCACATTGCAACCCTCACCTTCATTTATGGTAGCAGAAGGGCTTCAAGTCCACCTTAAAATACTTCAGTAGTTGAACTCGTGTGTAGCTAAGAAAAATAAATCCAATAAGGTCCTTCTTTCAAATAACCCCCTCTCTGTAGACCATGGTAGGACATATGGGGCACATGCACACATAACAAAACTCTCTTTCTTCTCTTCTCATTTTAGTCCAGCTCAGACATTTGCCAGATATTGATTTTTCCCCCTGAATTTTCCTAAAATAATAAATTATAAAATCAAGCTGAACTTATTATTTATGAGGTTACAGCACAGCTGCTAATTTTTTCATGCTCCTGTATGTACCAGGAAACCAACCACATGGACATTTTATTTGTGAGATGTTTTCATTTTGGTGTTTCCATGTTTGTTGGCTGCTTTGCACTGAAACAATGTTTTCCTCTGCTTCCTTAGCCAAGGCAGAAAATTCTTGATTTGAACTCGTCTAATTTCTCACTGTTTTAGCATGTAAGTATAGAAAGGTTACAGGGTTGGATTTTTTAGATTATTTCTCTTTTCTTGAATTCTCTGCAAACCAGAAGTTTAGAGGGAAGGTAGGGAATTATATCAGAACAAGCCTTTAATGAGCCATCACAACAGGTACATATATCTTATTGGAGGCTATTCCATTGCCACAGCCCCATGCCTACTAAGATAAATATTTATGTAAGAGGGTGGTTTTTACCTGCATATCTTATTTAACTTATATTAGTTTTTTTAGCTATGGAAAACACTCCATGTTCTTTGTACAGCAGTCTGTGCAAAAATTCTGCAATAGATTGTGTTGTAACTGAAAAACTTTTAGGGGCCTTCCAGCTGAAGAAGTTTGGAAGAAGTGCATTAAATTTGATGGCAGACAAACTTTAGGGAGGAATATCGACAATTTTATTGTATGGGGAAAATAAAGTAAGAGTAAGAATTAAGTTTTACTCTTATTTCTCTTCAGTAAATAACTATCTTACAACAGTGCACAGGATTCACATGCCTCTGTTTGTATTCTTAAATTTTGATAGACTTCTGCACTTTATGACTGTTCAAACTGCATGTTGATTGCAGTGGAAATGAATGAGGTTTGATTTAGTACCACTGAGTTTTCATTTTCAAGGAATATCTTAAGTAAAATGCACCAATGTGGTATACTCTGGAAGATCCTAGGAACAGTTTTCTGTATCCTTTTCCTCCTTTCCAATCCTTGAGAGCCAGTCTTTGAGATTATAGATTATTATTTTGAGATTTTTCATAAAGTAGATAGGTGAGCATATGTTTGTGGGCACTCAACCATGTGTGTTCCTGGGAACTTTTATATTTAATGTAAAAGAGAAATTGGTACCTTCCCAGTTCATGATAACAAAGTATGGAATTAAGAAATACATATATTTTATTGTGGCAGAAAAGCAAACACAAAAGAACAGCACTGAAAACATGACAGCAAGGTTAACATAAGTTTTAGGGAGAAAGGCATGTTTGGTTGCTTACCTTTTCCTTCTGCTTAATAGAATTACCTCATTTGTGACTTTGCATTAAATTCTGCCTTACTGTCATGTAGAAAAATAATTTTTAATTAATGTTACCTTTCGTGCATTTCAGAGACCCATTGAAATCTGTAATTACTTGCAATTTTATAATTCATTTTAAGTACATAATGACATAGCTGTTTACCTATGTAATCTATGTACTGGTATGTGACTTCATGCAGCATAGAATACTTTTTTTTTTTGCAGACCTATGTTTAGCTGATGTTTGATTTAATTTTTTTAATGATAAACCTTAGATAGCTTTTTAAATTGAGATTTTTGTGTGTAAGTACTGAGTGACTGGACTGTTTTGATTGGTATCAGACAGGTTTAAGGTTGGCTTTACATTTA